CACAACTTTAAAATGTTGCAATTTTTTTTTTTAACAAGTTAAAACATTACTAATAATAATAGCCATATTAAAAAAACTCTCCTTAAAGTGCAAAAGTTTTATTTTATTAAGTAAATATTTCTTCAATTTTGATATTTTTTGAGCTACCCTGTATGCTGTTTGACTTGCAACCATTCTAAGTGCACCTAATATGATTATTAGACATGCACAAACTTTTGGCCTTGTTTGTAGGGGCCCACCCCTAGATGCTCTGTAGTACACAATGATCATAACCAATAAGTGTTTGGTGGTTGTTTTGATAAGTTTTTTTGTGCTTTTTACTGTATGTATTGGTGTTTCTGGTGTTTTTTCGGATTTGCTATCGAAAAATTGACTTTCAGATTATTGAAACAATGAGTGATTTTGAATTCATCTGATGATTCAGAGCCGTCTACGCAATCTGATGCAGATTCAGATACAGATTTTGAAGATCTATTGGAAGAAAGGGTTAGGCCCAAAAATCAAAATTTTTTTTTGAACATAGAATTCCTCAGTTCAATAGAAATAGAGTAAGCTCTGTCGTAGCAGATTCAATTGCTGAAAGATTTGGGACTAGTGGAAATTACAAATCCCAAGGAGGTCCCTATGTGAAATTAAGGGCATGCAGCACACCTACATTTTTTTGTGGTATGCTGGCCATCAGACATCAAGTTATCGAGATGTAGCAGATAGATTCTGCATGACTATTAGTGCTCTATTTAGAGTTTCAAAAAGCATGACATATTTCTTGAGCAATTTTTCACCGGAAGTTATAACCTGGCCAAATGCTGAAGAAAAACAGAAAACAGAGCATTTTTTCAGGGTTAGAAACGGATTCCCAGGAATTCCATCAATGAGGAACTCATCAAAATCGATAAACCTGCAGAAGATCCTGAATCTTACATAAATCGGAAAGGATATTACTCCATCTAGGTATGTGAATGCTCAAGTGTATTTTTACATTATTTATGATTTTTTTTTGTTACAGGCTCAACTGGTTTGTGACCATAAACTCCGAATCAGGGATGTTTTAATACGATACCCTGGCTCGGTTCATGATGCTAGGGTTTCCCAGAACATCACCTTTGTGCTGAGAAGTGCCAAGATGCTCATTTATTGGGGGACAGTGCCTATCCGCTTTAAGGGAATTTATTACCACCTTTTCCAGATAGAGGACTTTCAACTCGGCGCCAAATTAATTACAACATGAAACATTCCTCTAACAGAATCAGAATAGAGCACTGTAATGGACTCTTAAAGCAAAAATTGCGTCAATTATATCCTATAAAGCTTAGAAAAACCAGAAACATTATTCACTTTTACGAGCTTATTGTGTGTCACAAATTTTTCTTTAGAAGATAAACTAGGGAAGATGACGAAGGCGCCAATAACAACCCTGAAAATGATGAATACCTAGAGAATGACTTAGAACAGGATTCAAATGGTGTCGAAAAAAGAAGTTTTATTGTAAATATTCTTGGCAATAATTAATTTGTTGTTTGACTCTAAAATATGACATTCTGAGGAAATTTTACTAAAACATGGAAATACAAATATTTTAAATACTAAAATTGAAATTTTCAAAAAATTTTCAGAAAAACTCATCAAGGTGAATTCACATGTTGCTTACTATCTTCTAAAACACTCATTTTCGCTTCCGAGAATTACATATTTTCTGCGCTGTGCTCCTTGCTGGAGAGTACCTGATACTCTGAAAAAATTTTATTTGATTTTAAAGACTTCTTTAGAATCTATTACAAATTGCACTTCAAATGACAATGCTTGGGCCCTTTCTAGTTTACCAGTGAAGTTGGGGGGCTAAGCCCTAAGCATTCGAGATACTTCTTCATTGTGTTTTTCAGCTTTTTTGGGGTCTTTGAACAATGTTTCTCTTGTATTACCTCATATCCTTCCAACTCAAATTTTGTCTTCTACAGATTCGGCAAAAAATGAGGCAATTAATCAATTCAAAATAATCACAAATATTTCGGACTTTACTAAATTTAAATGTCAAAAAGATTTTGATTTCGAATTTTGTAAATTTTCAATTGCTAAAATCATTTCAAATTCTAATAGTGGTGTTGAAAAAGCTAGGATTATTGCTTTGCAGGAAGAGGAAAGTGGTGCTTGGCTGAATGCTTTACCCTCTTCGAATCTCGGTGATTTGTTAGATGACGCGACCGTCAAAATTTCAGTTGCTCTTCGCGTTGGTCAACCTGTGTGCATGCCACACATCTGCACTTGCAACAACCAAGTTGATAAATTTGGGCTTCATGCCCTGTGTTGCAAAAAAAGTGCAGGTCGGGTGACCCGTCACAGGTTGATCAATGATATAATAAACCGCTCGTTAGCATCAGCAGATATTCCTTCCATACTAGAGCCACCTGGTATAGGTAGAAGTGATGGCAAACGTGTGGATGGAATGTCTCTGTTGCCTTGGAAGAGTGGTAAAGCATTACTTTGGGATGCCACATGCCGAGATACTTTGTGTCAAACATACTTATCAAAGACATCGATTAAGGCTGGTGAAGCAGCAAGAATTGGGGAATCCCAAAAAATGCTCAAATATAAAGAACTGCAGGACCGAGGTTTTCTTTTTGTTCCTTTTGCTGTGGAAACTTTCGGACCTTGGGGTAATGAAGCTAAAAGATTAATTAAACATATTTGTCAGAAAATGAATCATAAAAAGGCATTTAGCTTCATTACCCAAAAAATTAGTCTAGCAGTACAAAGGGGAAATGCAGCGTCAGTGCTTGGGACCCTTCCAGTAGGATCTGGTTTGGAGGAAATTTTTTATATTTGATGTTTTAATTGTTTTTATATTTTATATTTTATATTTTGTTATTTTATATTTAGTATTTTTTTATAGTTGTATTGCATCTTATTTTATTTTGTAATATCTGATTTCTTGCCAAATATGATAATGTTATGAATCTTACGAAAATAAAAAAAAAAAACAAAATAACAATTGCTAATGAAATAAAATTGATCAATTTTTACCCTGTCCCTATATAATCATTTATTTTTTTTATTCTCTACTGTAACATATTTTAGGTGTTTTTAGGATTCATAAATTGAATGGTATTTGATTCCAGTTAAATATTTAATTTGATAATCTGTTTTCGCTTAAATTGTTAATATTTTCTTTTAAGCCTAGAGTTTTATTGTCAATTTTAATTTTACAATTGATTATTCTGGCTGTTATTAACTAATCACCCATATTTACTGGAATATTGCTTTGGCTTGATATTTTCTTATTGAGTAAATATTTTTCTTCAATGTAGATTTCAGAATCACTTTGAATTAAGTGAACACTGCTGGATTGAAATTTTTTTTTAATTTTTTTTTTTGGTAAGTATCACCATGTTGATTGAGTTATTTTGGTATGTTAAATTTTTTTTTCAGGATTATCATCTAAAGAGCTTAATTACCTATCTTTATTATTCAATTTTATTTTTAGAATGTTTTTCTGAATTTTAGCATTTTGATATTCCACCTAATTCAAATTAAATTTTTTTTATATATAAAATTCAGTGGCGTCCAAACCAGGCTGTATACACAATTGACCCACACCTAATTATTTGCTGAGCTAACTGAGCATATTATGGACCCACAAATAATTCATTAACAAAAGGGGTTACATAACATCAAAAAGCTGTAACCAAAAGATTAACCCAAGTCCGAAGCTGGGTTATAATTGGTTATAAGTGGTAAATACCAAAAGCAAATGAGCTGATCTGTGACGTCACAACTTCCCCTACTTCGGTTAAAACCGCGATAGCGGAAATGCATTGGTTAAAACCCAATAATAATCATTCCAGGCTGAAAAGCGCCTCTTTTCTACCTTAATTTCGATCAACCCTAACAAAGAGATCAACACGAAGGACATAGCAGCAATATCAAAATACTTGTTAAACGTTAAACAGACTCTCTCGTTAAATTAAAACCTAACCATAATAATAATAACAATAGGTAATATTAATATTAATATTCTTTATTGCTAACAAAAATCGCAAAAGCAACGTCACAAAAGGCTGATCCAAGTAGCTAGTAGCGCCACTGTAGTTGCCCGCGCTAACTCGTTACGCATTGTGACGTCAGAGAGCGTTTCGTGCGTCTAAACGAATTTTAATATTTCGTCTACGTTTTTCTCATAGAAAGAATTTTCTGATTTTCGTAAAATTTTGAAGATTTACCTCGAGATTTACCTATGAAATGATGCTTAATAATTTGATGATTGTTAAACGGGATTTTTTTATTTTGTGAACATTCCTATTGAGCACAAAACTAGCACAATTGAAAAAGCCAAAAATATTGCGCTGGGCTGGCGGCGGTCAAGCTAGCTTGACCGCCGCCAGCCGGAGTTGTTTCAATTTTTTATTTTTTTTTTGGTATATGGATAGGAAAAAAACACAATTGGGCAGAAAATGAGAACAACTGAATGAACCAGATATTGCAAAAAAGTAAAAAAAAATGGGGGCTGGCGGTCAAACTGGACTAGATTCTAGGGGCTGCCCCCCCGTGGGCAAGTTGACACCGTTGCCAAATGTATCGTAATTCGTAATAAGTGCGTGCTAGTCTGTATATTGGTATTTTGAACGAAAATAGAGCCAAGCCAATTTAAGCTAAGCCGTTTTCTTAAAATTCTTTCAAAAAAATAAAAATTAGGGCTTAGTTTATGCTGGAACTAAAAAATATATTAGTAATAAGGAAAAGCATCAATCAAAAATATGTATACACACACATGTTCCAAGTAGGGTGAAATTTTTACTGCGATTGGCGCAATTTCTCATTAATATTTGTTATTTTTATTTATTACCTATTCTTCACAGCATAAATATGCCTCAAATGTTTCCTTATCATTTATTTCAATTAATTTGTAATATTTTATCTAATTCAGTTTTTGTCAGTCAATATGATCTCAAAGGAAAATAAAACTATCGGTTTACTGCAACAAATTAATGGCTATTTTATTATCATAATTAACATTTTTCCTTTTGTCTGTTTTTTGCTTTTTTATTTTTTGTTGAAAATAAAAGAGGATTATGGCGCTGTGGAATAATCTTTGGTACTGCTCCTGGTTTTGGCTTTTCATTAGTGAGCAAAGAATGTTTCCTTGTTTTGCTTTCTTGTATGGTCTTTAGAGTCCGCTCAATGGAAGCCACTATTTTCTTGAGAGCTTTGAAATCCCCGACAGTTTTGACATTATTTCTTATGACTGCATTCAGATTCGAAATAGATTTTTCTAAGCCTAGCATTGGTACAGCATCATCTTCATTCAGCTCTTGAGAATGGCTGATAGATTTAATGATTGTACATTCTGCAGTGGGATTATTATTTTGATCTACAAAAAAAAATATGAACATAAATCAATGTGATAGTTATCAAAAATAAATGTTGCTAAGTACAGTGTGGAGAATGGCCTTGCGGATCTAAATCCGGAGGGCTCCATTAAATTCGTAATTGCAATTAAGAAAAAAAAAATATTTTCTGACTATTTTGAATTATCGTAAAAAAGCTATTTTTTGTGTTTAACTCACGATTGTGACGCCATTTTTCAATATTTTTTCAAAATTCTTGAACCAATTGGAAGCCTAGTTATTGTAGATTTCACCTGCATGTGCAAAACACTATTTTTTTTTAAACTGAATTTGTCAGATTACGTAAAAGAAGCATTAGGAACAAGTCTAAAAGCGCTGCAAATTCGCCCCTTTCTGAGATACGGGTAGGTTCATCGACAAGCTGCGTTAGACCACAACTTATGGCAAAAGCTTCTGCTTCTCTGCCTTCGTTATCTGTTTTGTTGTGGTGTTTCAGCCAGGGTATATTGTGGACGTTGAAATCGCCTAAAAAGACAATTTCCGCCTGTGGATAGTTTGACTGTATACTATCACAGCTTTCGGATAATGTCGCGAAAAAGTTTTGGTAATCGGTGTTACTTGGCGGTCGGTAGAGGCAGCAGATAAACTTGGTCGATGACTTTGAGGTGAATTTTAGCCATATGATATCAAGGTTCGCTGGTTCTAGCTTCTCCTCTCGATGACATGAAAGGTCATTTTTAATGTACACACAGATCCCAAAAAATAATTCAAAAAAGTCGGAAAATATTTTTTTATTCTTAATTGCAATTAGGAATTAAATGGAGCCCTCCGGATTTGCATCCGCAAGGTCATTCTCCATATTGTACATATTTTTTAAAAAGTATATCCTCGAGTGCACAGTACGTGGTCGAATTTCGGTGTGCTGATTGCCGACTATTAACAAAATATGTTTGAGAGGATGAAGCGGACACTACTTGCCAGCCTGTCTCTCCTGGGAAAATCATTTCAAATGTCAACTTCTCACTGTTGACATGACGATTCCTTAAATCTTTTAATTTTCTAGAAAGCTTGCCTTAATTAATAGTTATTAGTCTATCAAACAATTTATCTCTAACGAATTGCATAATGGCATGAATACCCAAATCAAGTCTCTTAACATTTTTTCCACCCATGTATAAATATTTTAGGGTACGATGCATGCGCTCGACATGCATGTTGGTATTAATACCGCTGTACAAAATATTTGCCATATTCAAAAGTCTCAGGATCACTGAGTAGTTCTTCTATAAAGGACATCGCACACATCTTATGGGTTTTCGGGGACCGGTCGATTTTTTAAAAAATTTGGTATGTTGTAGTACTAGTGAAAATAAGTATTTTTCATCATAGTGCAAAATCTCTAACTATACAGGGTGACCCAGTAAAGTGGGTCCGAAAATCATTGCCAAGCCTTTCATTTATTGATGTTGGCACGCATTGCAAGCTACATATCGAGATTTGTCCTGTTAATTAATTACTTTTTTCCGTCCCAGTATATGATATAAAGACGAATCATTTAATGACGGTAATGAGGCACCTTTTGCGAAGAAAAGAATCGACCTATAAGTGGTATCGCTACAACCCATAAAAAAAAACATCGAAATCGAGGGGATTTTGTCCGTTTCCCTAATTTTGCCGGTGTGATGGAATAGACTTTTTATTTTTGAGTTTCTGAACTTTGAATCACATTTAGAAGTGATCCGAACTTATCCAAAATTTGTCTATTTTATGTTCAGTAATAGGCTAGAGCTTCTAAGACGTAAATTGGATTGGCAATAAAATGGACGGATTTTGTCACCTAGGTGAAGTGTGCGAAGAACCCTCCTCGGCGCGGTAATTTAATGGTAGAACGATGGTAGTCAATAACTATGCCGAAGCGGCCGATTCGAACCGAAAGATTATCTTCTACATTTGCTAGCAAAGACCGCTAGCTCGCTTCCTAGAGCTAGTTCACTTTAATTCCTGACCTCTGAATAGCCTATTTCCCTACATGGACAAGGATTTTTTTCTTTCTTAATCATATCTACCTATAATCTAACTGGTCAAAATAATTGATTTTCTATAGTTTAAGTACACCTTATTTTATTCTATCATCGCCAGGGAACTCGCCTAATGGCATCATGACGGTATCTTGTGTGGTCTCGCTTTTACTTTGAAATTCAATAATTTATTTCGATTTTTATTGTTCAAGAAATAAAAACACGGCATATATCGGATATTTGGTGCCAGTTTCCGATTTACTAATGAGATTGCACGTGTGGTACCATCAAGCATAGACGAAAACAAAGTGTGCCCCTATGTTCGATTTGTATTTTGGATTTATACCCGAGGCCCGAGGTACTCCTGGGTACTCCTCGGCATGCAAATGCGCGGAAATCAAAGCCGCCGGTCGGTACGCTTTTGTTTATTCGCCTCGTTTGTTGCCGCACCGAGGCAAGAGGCCCCCCTTTTTTGTCCACCTGAAAAAGTTTAAACTCGAGAAACGACAATCGGTACATAGGCGGAGAGTAACGATTTTTTTTGCGATTAAAAAACTGAAATCTTCGAAAACAACAACTGTAATTCAATCAGATAATTTATAGAACAAAAAAATCGATTGTCGACTTCAAAAAAAAAAAAAAACTGGCAAAAACTAACCCAAAAAAAATCTTGGCAGACAGAAAATTGCGTCAATGTTTCAACATATTCCAACTCAGCCAATAATCTAAATGTCTTATTGAAAAAATAAATTATCCCAAACTTAAACTAAACAAATCCAATTAGGATTTTCAAAACAAATAACACAATATGGCCTCGACAAGGCTTACAAAGCTTGTTGAAATCCTGCATATATGGTAATCGCAAAAAGCAAAGTAAACTATAATTCCACTTACCTAAATCGTCGTCATTAATTTATGTGTAAGCCTGCTTCTCATCGTCACTTAATAGACTTCATCAATTAGAGCAAACAACCACAAAAGCAAACTTTACATAAAAATCAAAACCTATACTATACCAGTCTTACCTCGTTAGGAATATGTTTTCTTTACATAAATCTTTTTTTTCTGCCAACCCCGTTCATACCTTCCTCTCCGCATTTCCAGAGCACGTGTCCAATAATGGAAGAAATATTTTTATCAGCTGATTGTCTCTCTCAAATGAAAAAAACACGTTACAACTGGACCAGGATCAAGTTGTTGAGTTAAGTGTGGTTCATACATTTAGATGCGAATCACGAATTGTGATAGCCGCTCCTATTGGTCAGCCACTGTCAAGAAAAGTGACATCTGTCAAAGTTCAATATTTTGCGAATTTGCGAATTCGCAAAATTTGGAATTTAGGCAGCGGAAAAATTGGAATTCGGTTAATATTTTGCGATATTCGTTGCCGATTTTATTTCAGACCGTATGTTGAATATTCTCAAAACAATCAGGAGAGTATTGACGTCATGGAAACTCCTTGGACTCCTTACTGCCCAATAGTGCCTTATAGTTCAAAAAACAAAAGTGCATTAGTAGAAATCGAATCAAATAATTTATTTATCATGCCAGTACCAATAAAAACGTCTACACACGTTAAAAACTGGATTGCAAACTAAAAAAACCTACTCATACACAGTACCTACCTACAGTCAAAATCTAAACTCTAGAAATGAATAAAAACTTCTCTATAGAAAAGCCTCCTGAATCTTTCTATAATAAACATTGAAGAGCAGCTCTTCAATACGTAAACGCATCGACAAACTGGCGCCAGGATTCTGAGAAAATTACTTGTTTACGTCGGGCAGCGCTTCTTTCTGGGAATGCCATTATTTTCTAAATAGACCCGGAGTACGATTTCGACTATATAAATAGAGCGTAGTAATGAGTTGAGTCAGTTTTATTTGGATATTGGTCGTGTACGTTTCAATAAGTGATAAGTGAATTTTATAAAGTCAATTAGTTTAATAAAATTTGTTACTGTTTGTGAAGTTAATTTTAGTGAACACGGACGCCGTGACAGTACTTTGGGGTAGAACATCAAAGAAATTTATTTAAATTCCTAGTGTTACAGTGATGAGTATTTTCATGCTGAAAATTTGAACAAACTCGCTCAAGGCATTTTGAATCTAAAGACAAAAAGTCAAAATTTTCCGAAAATTTCAACACTGTATTTTCTTAACGTGACGTTTGCGGACACATGTTCCTATACAAAAAGTGATTGTCCTACTGTACTCTATCTACCATAACAAAATGCGCACTATTCCGGACTCACCCTGTATATTAATAGCCCATTAGAAAGCTCTGCTTTGCTTCCGGACTCACCCTGTATATTAATAGCCCATTAGAAAGCTCTGCTTTGCTTTTGCTAATTTCAATGATATAAAGTTCGATAGGTTTATCTCTAACGATTTTCGAGAAAAAAAAAATCGGTTTTTGTCATAAGAAACAATGTGTCGGAGAAGGACTTTATCTCTGTAAGGAAACTGAAGAAGGTCTCTTACTCACACACTGTTTCTTATGACAAAAACCGAAATATTTTTTTTTCTCGAAAACTGTTAGGGATAAACCTATTGAACTTTATATCATTGAAATCAGCAAAAGCAGATCTTTCCAATAAGCTAATAATATATAGGGTGTCCTTTTGAAAAAAATCGGATTTTGGTCAATAACTGGAAATCGGAACCAAATAGAAAAAAAAATGAAAACGTCACTGAATTCTGCTCGAAAAAGTGCTTTGGGAAAGTCTTTACGGAAATGCATTATTTTCATAAACAAAAAAGTTTTGGAGGCTTCACAGTAGGTATTGCTCAAAATCTAGAATCGCCCTCTTTCATGAGATTTTAGCCTCAAAGTGGAGGGGTCCATTTTTTTCTATTTCCAAAAATAAAGGGTGTTTCCATAAGAAAGTGTCCAATTTGGACCACTCTGTATAGGATGTCCCATTTTGGTTGTACATGGTCTGTTTCTTATAATTAGTGCAGCTTCTACAACTTGAACAAAAAAAAATAGAAAAAAAAGTTAAA